ACTTGGTGAAAGTATACCTTTCTCTGTCTTAAATAAATTCAAATTTTTTTAGATAAAAAAAATCAAGAAGTTTCTGATATTCATTTTTTTCGGTCTGAAACACTTTTTTTTCAAAGAAAAATTCTACTTAAAAAAATCATCGTAGAGAATTATGCTGGTAATAATTTTTTCGTTTTGACATACTTTTTGGTGAAATAAAAAAATTTGTAATCACAGTTCAAAAACATGTTCAAAAATGCAAAAAACACAAAATGACTTGCAGCAATGAATTTTTCAGTAATTGTTGATAATTTGTTTAAATTTAAAAAAAAATCAAAAACTGATTACACCATTCAATTGTAAGAAAAAAATACAAAAAAACTGACTCATTGTTTGACTCAAAACTATTTTTATACAGTATTGCTATAAATATAAGTCGAATAGTGAATAAATAAATAAATAATATTTTTTTTTCGTAGGATCGATTAGTGTACTTATGTTTTCTAAAGTTTGATGAATTCAAAGATATACTTACAGTGTGCCCAAGATAAGGATGGGATAGCATTAGGATCTAGGAAACGGTAAGAGGCTCAGATTAGAAAAAAGTTGTGTTTTTGTATACCTAACAATATGCTGTTTAGAAAGTTTAAAAATTCCGGGTACTTCTGAAATTCTGAATTAGAGGATATTACTGATGTAATCGCTTAAAAAGTTTTTAGCTTGTTTTAGCTATAGTTTAAAATTTTTCCTGAGTACGGCTCTGAACGCTTTCAAAATATCTATTGGATGAAGTCACAACAGTATAAAAGTCAATACCGCAAAAAAAATCCAACATTTTTTTACTACTGTTAGCAACAGGTAGTAATTAGTAATAATAAAATATTTCATAAATTCGTATTTTTAACTTTAACTTTTTAAATTATGGATTAAAAAAAATTATTGGACATTTTGTGCTGTATTGACTTTTATTCTCTCCTCTCTCTCTCTCTCTCTCTCTCTCTCCTCCATAGATTCACGTATTTTGGAAGCGTTCAGAGCCGTACTCAGGAAAAATTTTTAATGATAGCTAAAAACCTTTTTAAGCGATTACAATAATAGTAATATCATCTAATACAGAATTAAAAATGACTAGATTTTGTCATAAAAATAGCAGCGATATATTTAAAAAAATTAATCTGATGATGGCCCGTCGAAGACGAAACGTCGGATTGTAAAAATGTTGACGCTATTGGATAGAGCGAAAAAGTGGCAATGTAAATATGCAATTTATTTAAAATTCCTTTTCAAATAAAGCCAGAAAAAAAAATAAAATGACTGCGAAATTTCGGGTTTTCGGATTTCGCGTCAACAGTAGACTTTGCAGTTAATACTTTGTATTGCTGAAATCTCAAATCACCCTGAGATAATTTATCATTTATGCATTTGTAATTCGACTTAGATGTTTATAGCAATACTGTACAAAAATAAAGTTTTGGGTCAAACAATGAGACACAGTTTTTTTTTCCGTAGAATTGAATCAGTTTTTGAATGTTTTTTAATTTAAACAAATTATCAACAATAACTGAAAAATTCATTGTTGCAAGTCATTTTTTATTTTTTTTTGCATTTTTGAGCATGTTTTTGAAATGTTACTATAGATTTTTTTATTTCACCAAAGAGTATGTCAAAACGAAAAAAAAATGATTACCGGCAGATCTCTGTACGATGATTTTTTTAAGTAGAATTTTTCTTTGAAAAAAAAATTTTTCAGGCCGAAAAAAATGAATATCTCAGAAATTTCTTGATTTTTTTATCTAAATATATTTGAGGTTTTTTAAGACAGAGAAAGGTATACTTTCACCAAGTTTCATCAAAATTAAATTATTTTTGGAGAAATGAGAAATGAAAGTCGAAAAATCAGAAAAAAATCTTTTTATCGCATTTTTCTCGGAAATTTTGAGGTTATGTTAAAAAATGACTTCTACAAAAGTTGTAGATTTTTGCATGATATATAACTTTTGTATTAGATACTTTTTTGTTTGACGTCAACTTTCGCTAAAAATCCCAATGATATAATTTTTCATAACCTTTCAACCCCCCAAATCAACCCTCCGCCGCCCCTACTCACGCATTTATTTTTTTAGGTTTATTATAAGCCCCTTTACCATTTCCACTTATAAAAGTCCAGGTAACAATATTTTTTTTCTCCAAGTGTAATTTGGTTGGACTAATACTACTTTTAAAATCTTTCAAATTTTCAGTGAATTAATAAAACTCATGTAGATAGAATTTAAGAAAAAAGCAAATCTAAATTATGTTGACAGTTAAGAAACTTCAAATCTAATAACGTTGAATGCTTACAAGTATTAAAAGATATGTTGCAGATTTCTTAGTGAAAAGGAAATTTGTTAGTCTTAAAATGGATAAGAGAAAGTTCATGGTTCATTATAGGAAATGATTTATTTATTCCCCATGGCTAATGTTATGCGATTGGCCGGTTTTAGTAGGTTAAGAACAGAAATTGAGAAGAAATGAAAATAAAAAATATTTTCCCAGTTATTCATTGCGAATACTTTAATTACAGTTTTTCTTTTTCACCCTCAAAATTTTAATGAAAACGAAGCACGAAAAAACACACAAAAGCCATGTTGTGACGTCATATCACTCTGTAGAGTCTAGCCCACATCCTTGGTTTGGTCCCACATACACCATTGAAAGCAGACAAACACAAATGAATTTAAACTATCAAATCTTAAAAAAAAAACATTATCATTAACAAATTTTGAAAATTTTTGAGAGATTAGTTTTTAGTTAACTGTAAGAATGAAATTAGCGTCGATATATAATTGTTCAAAAGAAGAAAAATAAGTATAATATTCGCACATAAGATAAAGTTAACTATTCGCATAAATATTTATGATATGCCTCAAAAAACATTTATGATTTATTATTATCAATTTATGATGGAACATGAGGTATGTAAATGTAGTTATTTACTATCATATTTTAAATAAGAAAGCAATACATGTAACTGGTCTCATTTTTTTGCAGTAATCTATAGCACGGTGATTTTATCTTGCAGTTCAGTTTTATTAAATCCACAGATTCCATATTTGCAACAAACGGAAAGAGAACATTTTTAAATCTATTTGCAGACATATCTTTTTAAAAAATATATACTTTCAGAGTTTTAATTGAACTGCTTTGTTCATTGTGTGATTTTTATTTAGGCAAACGGATTTCTGTGATTAATGTTTAATACTTTTTTCACTTACGGAAAAATATCAATAAATAGGGAAGAAATTAAAATTATACAACAAATAAATTACTTGAAACAATAGCTAACAGGGCATTCAGGAGTCGGGTCTAGCGAATCGAGTGGTGTGACGTCACATACTTCGCGAACGGCATGTACCATTTCAAATATTTTCCGAATTAGAAATTATTTGTCAGATCTAATATTAAATTAATTTAATATTAAAGCTATCGACCTGATTTCAACATATATTTAGAAAGTTAAATGCTCATCAAAATTGTAGAAACAAGTTATAAGTTAAATATTACTGAAATAGCCCATTTATAAAAATGATGATTTATTAACTTGCAGCCCGCCGAAATGCGTAAAAAAACTAGTGAAGAAATAAAATATTTTGAGATAATTAGTAGTGTAGTTACAGCCCGATTGAAAATTCAGTACAAATAATTTAGGGGCACATATTTGAGGTCAAAATAAGACTCTTTTTTTCTTATAAGTTTTTTAATTTGTTCGATTTTTTAAGAATAATTTCCAAATATATTTGAATATTGGCATAAAACTTGGTGTACGGGAGTGTTTTTTAGGGTGCTAAATTGAAATATATCATTGCTTTTGGCGCTGCTTGTAGAGGGCGCCACCTATAAGGGTTCCTTTAAATTAAATTGGCCCTATCTTTTTGCTACCCTGTACATTGACGTTTTGTATTAGTGCATTTATTGTCTTATCAATTTTAAGCAAAAAAGATATACTTGGTCGAAATCTATCAGACCAACCGTTCCCGAGAGAAATTTTATTATTTTTTTTCACCATCTAATTAGTAATGCAATGATCTTGAATTTTAGCTCTTTATATATATTTTTTTTTATACAACTAACCGTTTTCGAGAAAATCAATGCTGACTAATGACAATACTACCGTTTGGTAATAAAAAACTGTAACATCCTGTATATCGAAAATTAAGCATTTGTGGACCCACGTTTATAGTCTTATTTGACCTCAAAAATACGCCCCTAAATTATTTGTACTGAATTTTGAATCAGCCTCTATAGTAATGAACCTTTTGTCTACAAATTATTAAATAAATGTTTTAATAAATACCAAAATGCTAATAAAAAGTTTAGAAATTTTTATATTGCTGACTGATTTTCCAAAATTCATGTCATTATGTTTAAGGTCAGTAAACTACATAATTTTTTCAAAATGCAAATCATCAGGTTAGTCAGTTAAATACAAAAACTGTTTTAAATTAATTGTTTGACAAATTGTCCAATACAGATTTTGAAATTGTGCCAAAATCCTATGAAAATATATTTCTGCATTGAGATAGACAAAACAGTATTCTACAGGAAAACTGTATTTTTAGATAACGCTCTTGAACTAGTCAACAATTTTTCAGAACACAAATTATTTTTCTAAAATTATCATTTTACAGCCTTCAACTGTGTTACCTCGTTACGGGTAGGTGCGTATGTAAATTGAATATCTCAAAGTGTAGTACATATTTATTGATATATCAATTCAATTCCTTGTTTATTGATTTTCGCAAATAACAGTTCTATTTTCCTTCACTTGCAGTTTGTTTTCTCAAAGCCATAAGGTTTTTCTTAAATTTCCAATTCGCCAAACATCCGATGCAGATTCTACTTTATCAGTTGAGCGCAATTACTCAGATCTCCTAATCTGCACCGGAATCTGGACTGTCGAAGGGATCGGCTAACTCTCACCGGCTGTCCTGCGATAGCAGGAATATTGCGGTCGACTTGGAAGACTTGCAGTCTGGCGGACGCTCATAAAAAGTGGCGATTCAGTTACGGATCAAGATCGGTCGCGTTCAGCAGTAGCGTACGGAGCTAGTGACTGTCGTAAGAATTTTCAGTGAGGCCGGTATCTCGGTGCATTGTGTCCTGAAAGTTTCAGCAAACGAGAAGGTAAATAAAGTTTGTTCTTGTGAATCCTGAAATGCATGGGCGTTAAGATATTTTACGGAATTTTTGTTTTTAATGTTTTTCAAAAAGTCAACCAGAAATGAAAATATTATCTAATACCAGTTAATCCATTATTTTTTTCTTTTTTCTTTCATATATCTTCCGGGAATTTTAAAATGCTTAGTTTCTTCACAAAATAAGTTGTGTTTTTTCTGTATGAATTAAGTGGAAATTTTGAAGTTCTGTAATGTGTCCAAAAGAAATTTTGTTTAAATGTTCTTTTTATCGGTCATAATATTGAATTCACTTTTAGAAATCGTGAAATTAAACAATAGTTGTTTTTTTCTTGTTAGATCATAAACATTGTAATACATATTACAATATTTTACGATATTTTTATTTTACAACTTTTTCTAAATTTTGATGATAAAAACCAGTACCTACATATGCTCTATTTACTGTTATAGTTTTATTTGAATTAAGTAAAGACAGACGACATAATTTTTGGGTTCTGCAGTATCAAACAATCATTTTTATTAACAATAACAGTACATTTATACAGGGTATCTATTAATCCGATTGTCATAGGTAAAGATTAACACAAAAAATTAAAATTAACTATGACAAACTTCAATCCTTACTTATTGGCAATTTTTTTTTTAATATCTTCTAAATCAGTGCTAAATGTAGCACTTGGCTATTGATAATTCATATTTATGCAGAATATTATAATAGTCTCGATAATAGTACAATTCTGTTCTTCTTACCTTTTCTTTCTTTACTTCCTATACGGATCTCTTACTTAAATAGCCATCTTCTGTATTTCAGAAACATTCAATTACATCTGACGTTTCAAGGCAAATATCACAGCTCTCTTTGATGTGTTCTTCTTGGCAAACATTTTTAAGAGCAGTATTTTTTCAATTATAATCAAGTTTTCACGTTTTAAAATTGTTACATGCATTTTCCAAGAGTAACAAAAATCGATATTTTCTTTAACGAGATAGTTATGAAAAAATTTATTCTATACAACCTATTTTTTTGTGGCTCCGCATAAATATAAATTATCAACTAAAAATGCCAACAGAAAAATTCTTGAGTTTATTATTATACCTACTAAGAGAAATTACTATACTCGTACAAAATATTGTTAGTTTCGACCTAAAACAGTTAACACTTAAAAATTTATTATTTCCTCCACAATAATTAATAACTAAAAAACTTGTCCATTACATGCTGTTTAAATTTAACAAAATAATAATAATTAGAAATAAAAAAATGCTATATTTCTTCTTGCAATGTATATTATCATACTAAAATTAGTCAATTATTATGTCTGCGTATTGGATATTTCCAAAACAAGAAACGTCCTTTAAGAATAGTATAACCGGTGTAACAGGAACTCATGCGCATATATTTTCAGAACATCAGCGAAAACTTCTACAGACATCTTTCTCTGTTGTTTTCGCGTTAATATCATTAAAAGTTGTTCGTAAAAGTGGGCCACGTGTAGTTGTAAATATAAGTAATGTTTCGAGCCATACTAAATGTGGAACTGTTCTCCTGACATACACGTATAATATTTTTAATGAAATACGAATCCGTTAATTGCTTACGAATTAATAGCTTTAATCGCAAAGCCCTTTCATTGTCTTATCTTTTTATATGTGTTTTGCAAATTATTTTTTATAGATAAGTTAATGATTTTAGGCAAATAGAGCATGAAAATAAAAGATCCTAAATTAGGAAAATGTGTAGATATATCTGATACCTAGTAACCTATAGCAATACTAAATCCTTGTTACAAAAATAAAGTTTTTTTAATTTTGAATTTATACACATTGTAAATGTACAGTGTACACATTTGTGGTCTGTATTTTTTAGAAAAACTAGGAAAAATGGGTGAACTTTTTTACTCTGAGTTTCTTTTTTATAGAAAAGTGTAGTTTTGAAGTCAGAAAACATATCTCACATACAACCACCAGAAACATACAGCGTTTTGAGATGTAGACATAATATATTGAACAAAAAATGCCAATATCTCAATGAAGATACATGTTTTAGAAAAAAAGTTTCAAATAAAAGTTGTTCAAAATTAAATTTCCTACAAAATTGGTCCTATCTAAATTTTGATTTTCTAAATAGTTTTCCCGCATATTTTTTAAATGAAGTACAGATGTGCAAATTAATGTTTTGAAACCAAAATACATAGGTATAATGGTCAATTCATTTTTAAGTAACAAAAGTGAATCAGAGAAAAGAAAATTATGAATTAATTATGCGCTTTTTAATATTTTTCAGAAAAATCAGTTTTCTTTGGTATTTGTTACTTTCAATATTAAAAAATAAAAATTTGTAATGTAATTAAATTGAATATTTAAATTTGATGACAGACAATAGGAAAGAAATTTTGTATCAATAAATTTTTTTTATTTATTCATAATTAAAAAACTTTTTTTATTTATTATTTTGACAATTTTTTATTTCCATATCTATGCTTCTTATGTAAAACTGCTTCATCGCTGTCGCAAAAAAATTTCAAAGAAAACAGATTTTTCTGGAAAATATTAAAATGCACATAATCAATTCGTAAGGTACAACCTCGAAAACCTATAAAATGATACGTTTCATGCTCATAAATATTTAAACCTAGGAAAATTATATAAAATTTTTCAAGAATTTCCTCCAATTTTCTTTTCTCTAATTCACTTTTGTTATTTAAAAATGAATAGATCATTATTTTGGCTCCAAAACATTAATTTTCACATAATTTATACTTCGTTTAATTTATTCGCAAAACCTATTGGAAAAAGCGAAATTTTTCGTAGGAGCAATTTTGTAGAAATTTAATTCTGAACAACTTTTATTTGCAACTTTTTACCGAAAACATGCATCTTCATTGAGATATTGGCACGAAGACGGCCCAGTAGGATTATCTCAAAAAGTACGCCGAAGTTAATAAAAATTTGTGTACAGGGGTTTATCAAAAATATCTATTAAATGAAAATAGTGTCAACTTTCTTGCACTTCCGTTATACCGGAAGCCATCACACAGTTATTTCAAATGGAACACTATGTATATTTATGCATTTTTAAATTCTACGGTAAATTCTAGACATATTTCATATAAGGTACTATAGGCCAAAATGTAACAGTTTTCAAGTTATTATCAATTTTTAAAAAAATATTGAGGAATGCAAGCGACTTTTGAAAACTGAATAACTCCGACATTTAGCTTTATTTATTAAGGAAATTTGGCATAGATAATTTAAAAATACTGGAATTCAACCGGTTTGTCAAATTTGCAAAAATTCATAGTGTTTAAAAACGTGTGGCCAATTGTGACGTTAAAGTTGAATTTACTCTAAAATTTCAAATGGTTCACCCTGTATTGTATGTTACATTAATGGATGCAGCATTAAATTTACTTTAAAACTATACTGTAGTTCCTTATACCCAAAGTCAACAATTCCTGGGTAAATTGGAAATTATTAATTTCAACACAGAAAAATCTACGGCGGATTTGATGAATAAACGGTGTTTGATTAATGAACTGTAATTTTTATTATCGTTATACCTTCATCAAAAACAATAATTCAGCACATTAAATTAAAAAGAGACGATGTTTTAAATAAAGTCACCATACTCGTAGATTTTTAAAGAAAATCCTACTGGGCCTTATTCGTGATACACCCTGTATATATGTCTATATCTCAAAACGCCGTATGTTACTGGTGATTGCGTGTGTGACATATATTCTCTGACATCAAAATCTACACTTTTTTACAAAAAAAATCTCAGAGTAAAAGCTTCGCTTAATTTGTCTTTTTATGTCTAACTTTCTTGGATTAAAATGCGTGTATTTAAACATAACACATATTGACAAAATAAATGTTAAATGTTGAAATAAATAGTTCTGATCATATTCAGGACAATTTTTAAAGTTGCATGAATTGTATAATTTCAGAAATATATGAAAAAAAACTATTTTACATATTTCTTTGTACCTTTTGACCTACAATCGAATATACTTTTTGGTGCATTTGAACGTTTTCTTTCACTTTCAGTACATTGCCTAAATAATCAGTTAAATTAACAATAACTCAATAATTTAATATTTGAAACTTGTCTACTCAAGAAACTAATTTAGTTCTGTCACATAAATCCTTTTATCTTTCTTTTTATGCTAGTGTGATGATAATTTGTAGTGTGATATTCAAGTATCTCAAATTAACGCATACTAAACAAACAAGTAGATACGTCTGGCATTTGAGTTTACCAATGTTGTTTATTCACAGTCGTCTCTCGTAATACTGTAATTTTTATTCATTACATAGATATTTTGAATAACGGTTATCAAATTTATTGGTAGTTACAAGTTAAAATATTGGAAACATGTCCCCGCTAATTGTTTAAGAATTCTTTAGTTAATAGTTTAATTGAATCTGCATTTCTTCCTCATTCCAGCACGCACACCAGAATAAACTTATTTCACGCTCCATCGGTTTCGCAGATTTATCTGGCTTTAGGTACGCCCTTCCTCAAACACGATTTAAATAACTTTTGAAAACCCAAAAAACGGAACACGTAAAAGTTTATTCACCATTAATTTCCATCACTATTAGAGTAGAACACCTGGGCAGGGCTACGGAAACCCTATTTTAAGGCGACAGTAATGGCTGGGGACAGCTTCAATGTTGCGGTAAATATTTTCTTTCACTGAACCGTTACTAGTTCCGTTTTTGTTTCTAAACGCATTATTTTGTTAGCTACTCTTACGGAACATTATGGGACAACATCCTATATATGTCCACGGTCGTTGTGCTCGTGATAGATATGTGCCAAGCTTCAACGGTTCCACACACATCAATAGATTATAAAAAAATATATTATAGAAATTTTTTGCGCTGCCTATATGTGATCGCTCCACATTGCTTGTGGCAGAAGTAAAAGAATACGTGATACAAATGATACTATCTTCACTTAAGATGGATTATGCGAGC